AACGGAATCGTAACTTAATGGAACTAAATGGAGGTAGAATAGCACCAATAAAGGAGCTTGCTTCAACTGATAAATATGTAAGTGTGATTATCTGAGGTATCTGTGGTTCAGCAGATTCGTATTGTCGTTACTGAATGATGATTGATTGACTGAGCACCAAGAGGTAACTCAGAGGCGGCTGGTTCGAATCTTGCTGTTACTCAAATTTTCATTTGATCTTCAATCATCACTCAGTATTGATAAATATAAATAATAAAAAGATACTGAATATATGAGTGGTTGATTCGTTGACCACTTATATTTACTGACTACTGCAACTACATACACTAACATGAATACAAATATGGTTTATTTTACAGAATGTACAATATCAAATAGCATTGCGAAAACTGTGTCTTTTACTCTTCCTTTATGATGTCTGACTATCCGTAAAATCAAGACTAGAGGCTCGTTTCGCCTGGGTAACTGACAGCTCACTCCATTCCTCCTGTTCATTTCTCTGCTCCCAGAATTATTATTATATCATTATTTGTCCCATGGGTTCCTAGTGGAATACAGAGCTTCAGTAGCACGTCACCATTTCACTCTACTCTCTGCAGTCTTTTCAACCTAGCTCTATCACTGCCCAGAACCTCTCATTTCTTCCTCACACCATCTCCTCCATGTCATACTCACCTCGGAAGCCCAACTCCTCGTTTCTTATTTAGGTTCCACTCGACGGCCTGGTCTAGCGTGGCGTGTGATGTCCCCAATCGGTCTTCACAGTGTACGTCCAATCCAATCCAGTCCATCGCCACTTCCTTCTGTACATTTGTTGGGCGATGGGTTCTTCGTTAGTTCGTTACCAACCCAGAGTTCCTTGTCATGTATTCTTAGTATTCTGGCCATCTGATCTTCAGTATCGAGCGTAGGCAGGTGTTGGTGATTGTCTGTAGTTTTTTGGAAATGCTTCCGTAACGCGCCAAGTCTCTGAACCATGACATAGAAGCACTGACTTACTTGACTGGCATTAGTGTTGAAAATCCGGATCTTGTTTTTTATGCTGAGTGGAGTGGATTAGATCTCCAGACTGACTTCAGATTAACGCAGGAAGGCCTGTCTTGGTGTCTTTTCGATCCTGGCTGGCTTTGACGTTCTCATCTGTGCCGCCTGTAGTTGGAACGATGCTGCCTAGGCAGGTGAAACAGGCTACTTCTTTTAGGTTTCTCCCGTTGATAGGGATTGATGGTTGTTGTTGCTGCTGTTCTTGTTGGTTGGATATCGTTGGATATCATCACCTCTGTCTTCTCTACATTTATTTGAAGTTCCGTCTTTTCTGCCCTACCTCTTCTGTCGACTTGTTGGCTTTCGCCTGTAGATCTTCGAGTTTGTACGACATTGAACATAAATCATCATGGGGGAAATCCAAATCCTCTATGGTCTTTTCATCGGTCTAGCGTATGCCCCTCTTCTCGCTCATCACAGTTTGTTGCATAACCCAGTTCACCACAATCAGAACGATCATCGGTGATAGTAGGTGCAACCTTGTCTTATTCATATCTTCACTTCGAAGGCCCCATTGGGCCTTCCATTATCAATCACTTGGCATGTGGCGTCGTCATATACTTGTTGAATGAGGTTGATAAAGGTTTATGGCACTAAAACCGTAGTGTTGAAGCAGCTGCCTGCCAAATTACTTCTCGGTCTACATCCGGATCAAAGGCCTTTTCAAAATCGATGAAGTTGAGGTAGAGAGTTGACATTCTTCCATTCTACGCTCTGTTCCATGAGGATGCATAGAGTAGCGTTGCAATTTGATCCATACATGATTTGTTCTTCATGAAGCCAGCCAGACAGCCAGCCTGTTCCAGTAGTAATTTTGAATGGAGAGCATCTTTTAATCTCTCCAGGATGATGCTGCATAAAATTCTGCTTGGGGTGGAGAGGGAGAGGTGTGTGAATGCGCGTCAGTTCTTGCAAAGACTTAGGTCTCCCTTCTTTGAAGGTTTGGCAAGGTACCCCATCTTTCAATTGACCAGTATTATATATTTTAGACTTGCAATCGATGAAATCAGGGATCATAAGTGCTTTTAAGATGAGCATTCATTATCATTTGTGATACAAATTACTTAGAAAATTGGTGTTGACAATTAGATATAACAATATAAGTAGCCGGCTTTCATTGCTTTTTTGTTTGTTCTCTTTTACCCTATGAGAAACCCCCCTTTCCCCCCCTGTTTTCATCTTCAGTTTTATACTACTTAATATTCATGAGTAGTATAGCTCTTGTTTCCTTATAATGTTGCTTCACCCTCAGTCTTCACTGTTCATTCCGTTACATTGTATCCTGTCCACCATTTTACATCCATAGATATCACTATCTTTCGTAGTTCATGGTGTCCTTGTAATTTCTTTCCTTGTTCCCTAATGTCATATTTTACCTTGGACATCTGTTTATCTTGCGTCTTTATCTCGTTGTGAGAACTAACGCGCGTCTTTTACATTCCCTTCTGGTTGCTTGGAAAGAGACTTGCACTCTTTGAAAGTGCCTTGAAAGCGATAAACCCGTAGATATCTCGTGTTTCAAGGTTTGCATTTAATTATTCAGTATTGTTTATTTATATGGAACCGTATTTCAGACAGATCCTGTGTTTGGGATTTTACGCGTAACTCGAACATCTGGTTTATTGTTGAGAAGTCGCTTGTACTCTTTGTTTCCGAACTTCTTGAAAAGATATTCACAGCTGGTTTAAGTCAAATTAAATCAAGCTCACTCAACTTACTAATACTCAGTACTAGCCAGTGTTATACTAGCTAATGATAAGTCCTGAATGGATTCTGTTGTAATACTGAAGTTAAGTAATTCGGTAATTTATTGATACTTGTAAATTCATATTACTATACTGGGAACAACTGCTCGACCTCCATTGGCACATGTGTTTCTATTCGGACGCCTCGATACTGCCTGGATACTATATTCTGTTTGGTGGCTTGCAGTGGAATACAGGACGTGGGTTTCGTCCTATTGGTACTCTTCAACCGGATGTACCTGGACCTCACTGAGTGATATTGTTCTCACTGAGACTTGAGACCAGCACTCATTGGTTCAAACACCAAAGTATTATTTACTAGGCCACTGGAACATGAGAAGTACTCAAGTAAGACGAAACATCCGTCCAGGTTTCTACTGCTCACTACCAAATTGTCTACAACTCGGAAATCTGTTTGTAAAGTCAAAGATGATGGAACTAAATACATAATTGTGAACTGCTTGAATGCAATGTTTAGAAATATTAGTTTCAAATCTACGACGAAGCTTTAAACCTTTTACTGTTTGAGGCGTGACTTGGGGACCAGGTTTAAAATGTACTGAATTTAAGTTGACCAATCTGAGATAAGAAACGTGAACGTGAGTGCTTTCAGCATCTCATCCTTTGATTAAGATCTGCCTCGGAACCTTGAGAAAGACTACTGTTTTCATCTACGGACCAGTGCTTGTCACACATTTTCACTATATGCTCAGAAAAGACTACTGAAGATTTCCTGTCTGATAACAGAACGGAGGTTTCTGTCATTTAAGGATTACAGACAGAAGTAATTTCGATGAACTCAGCTGGTAATTTGCGTCCTCTTAGTGAACTGGTCAATGTGAAAGGTGTCGAGTAGAGAGCTGAAGCAATCGAAAGATTAATTTTTCAGAAAGGGCAGCATGATTATGCCAGCCTGCCCAGTGAGATAATAAATTAAAGTATCCCATAACGTGAGAAGACTTAAAGATACTGGGTATGAAATAAGATTGTATTCGTGAATGTCTTTGAAAAATGACGCTTTCTCAAACTTCAATGAAGAGTTAAGAGAAACAGATTCGCCTTGCAGTCATATTGAAGGGGATCGAAACTAATCTGACTTGCATTTACAACAGAACCATTTAAAAGTTAAAATTAACCTACAACCCAAAACTACTCATTACAATTCACTTCCTGCTGTTAGACTAACAATCTTACATTAGACACTAATGAGTAATGTCGTTACAGACGGAAAAATATACATCTCATATCATTTTCAATAACATCTACCTATTTCACGGACTTACTAAGGTAGGTAAAATGCAAAAACACAGAAGGACAGGGTTTCACTTGCTTTCTTAGATATATCTCAAAATATCAACATCTAAACTGACCAGATAGCCATAAACAGCTCTGTATATGTATGTTACTCAATAGATACCGAGCTGGCAGCCAGTATCCTCCATGTTACTGGGTACACCTAATGTGATGTGATTGACATCAGAGGTCATTATTACGTCCAAATATGGTATGAAATAAGTAGTTTGGGGTATGATTTTAATAAATCTCTTCATTTCTGGTAGTGCTTTAAGAAAAATCTGGGCAATATTTGGCAACATACAGGATATCGTCAGTGATTATTTAGTCTCATATTCATCTTATTACAATATTCATGAACACTTCTTTGTCCTCTTATGTAAGTGATTGGTATTTTCATAAAAATTCCCGGTTACCAACTGCGAATTGAGGTAAGACTCCTAGGTTGCTATTCATCATGGATTAACATCAGTTGGAGGAACATTAGAAATCCGGCAGCACTAAACAGCTGTTTCGTATTAGTATGGGACTCCTTAGAAATGGGTACCCATGACCCTGAGTGGGATCAAACCCAGGACCTACATATTCTGCAACCAGCACCCAGTGTCATCGTTGAGTATTTGTCTTCACGTTCGCCAGAATTGCCGCATCATTCATGACTTCTGACTGGAACTTGAAGAATCACCTCTTGAAGCTAGATTGCAATGAGCACTTTTAGCGTTCTGAGAATATTTTATAATAATTTCATGTTTCCATGTGTTACATAGCCTTTTTTTAACGACCCTTGAACTTATAAACTTTAGAAAAGCTCTACCCTATTAACCAACTACCGGTTAAGAAAGCAACTCAATATAGTGCTAAAAAATAATTATACTCCATAAAATTTACAGTTGTTGCTTTTTTTTCAACAATTGAATTCTTGAATGTTTTGTGAGGCCATTTTAAACAGTCTTCATTTACAGACTTTTACATTTGCAAACAAGTAATATTGAATTTACTTCGAGATATCAACTAGAACGTATGTAGAGTTCGATTAAAATACTCATGACTAAATATTGAGGGAATAAATGAATCATTTTGTTCACAATGAAATACTTTTTAGTCATTTCTTATTCTTAATTTCATTTCTCCTCTTCATTTGTTGCTGTTGTTGTTTTTGTTGTTGTTGAGATATTTCAAATGATTTGAAACTTGAATTAATCCCAGGATTTATAATTTGATAATTACTTAAAATTGCTTCCTGTTTAGTGAGCATCATTTGTAAATATAACTTTCTTTTATTTCGTAATTGGTGTAATTGATTCATTAGTAAATGTTTGATAGTATCTACCCAAATTTGTTTGATTGATGTATTAACTGATTTAAAGTGATGTATGGAAGTATAATTTTCAGTGAATAAGGAAAAATATCGGTTGTCAGTATCATTGTTATCTGAATTCGAGGATAATCCGATATGACGAAGCTATTAAAATTTCATTTTATATTGATAATAAGAAAATAAACAAACAATTGAATCAAGAAAGTCAAACTATGGAGAACCTTGAAGATAAATTCAGAATATCACTTTGACTATCTGAGATAGTCGTGAGTTAGTGGACTGGTATTGATACTGGGTAATGATTGGAGGTGAAATGGAAATTTCAACCACGGCCAGACTGGAAACAGTGACCACTGGACCACCGGACCTCGTAGCTCAGTTGATAGACCACCTGTACGGAAACCCGATGGTTGACGGTTCAAATCTGGCCGTGGTCAAAATTTTCACTCCACCTTTAGTCATCACCCAGTAACAATAAATTCAGAAGACAAAAACTATCACTCATTGAACAACTTCTAGTTCTGAGTAGGTTGTTTACCGTGACACAAATGTTAGTTGAATAAAGACAATCAGCAGGAAGTTTTGATTGAGACAGACTACGTGTTTGCTAGTACTGGTCAAAAAGACACGTCTGTAACCACAAGGGAACTGATGGCCTGCCTGAAATTCGAACTTACGTTACCCAGTGTTGCAGTCAACTATTTGGGTCACGATTAACCTCCTGTAGGACTCGATCAGGTGCATTGATTGTTCGCTGGAGAGTAACCAACTTCTTATTGTGTGGTCCCGAAATTCTGATAGAATCCTATCGACCATTTTGTAATCTGACCACCAGGCTAGGAGACTCACCTTCGCGACACTCCGAGATAGCTGTTAATTATATCGAGGCAGTCGGTAGAAAACCCTCCTCGACCTAGTTTCCATGCCTTCTGGTACTCCTGCCTGAGATTCAAATTCGCATCACCCATCGCTGCAGTCAGAGACATTCAGTCAACACTTAGGACTAGAAAACATGAAGTGGGTTACTCTGCAGTGACCAGGAAATGTACAGTGACATCATCAGACAGTGACAGTTCGCTGGACAAAAAGGAATATCTTTAATTCCCACAGAGAGTCCAGTGCAATGAACAATCATGTGAACAGTTTTTAAGTGTTTTAACCTTAAGTTCAGCGGTGTAAGTTTGGTGTTATGAAGTCAAGAGGTTGTCGATTCAGTGTATAACAGCTGTTATAGACATATTCTTTTCAAGTTGTAAAATATGACTTAATAAATGTCCACCATGACCTACTTGACTGTCGACTGGTTTACGGTTGAAACTCACCTCTGGTCAATAACAATTCAGTGTTTACTTCTAATAAACCAGTCGTTCAGACAGAGATTAACTCTTGACACTGACAGAAACACTTAATGTGTCTGTAATTTTTGCTTTTTACATGGAATCTACCACACTTATGATGAGGATTTTTACTAGTAACTGATGCAGTTGGATATAAACTGAAATCCGAGATCTCTATAGCCGGATAGGCCCTTAACTTCTTCAAACATTTAGCTTCGCCTAGTAAGTCCATAAGTACTCATTCTCTAAGTTAATATTCAGTGTTTTATAATTCTCGACGCTAGTCAGTTAACAGCAAAGACTGACTATCATTCACTTTTGCTGTCGGACGTGAATTCTCACTTTTTTCATGAGTACTTTCGGTTGATTTCACTCTATGGTGAAAAACCTATCTTGAACTTAAATCAACAGTCTGTAAGTTCTGGGTGATAACTGAAGGTAAAATAAAAATCTAGGCCACGGAAAGATTCAAACCAGCTACCAGAAACTTGACAGTCAGTGTAAATACGATTAAGCGATAGTAACACGTCATGAATTCACATGACAGTCGGACAAAGTACATGATGATCGAAGTGAGATAAAATTCTGAGCATTAAACGTGTCTTGTAGCTCAGTTGATAGAGAACCCGACCGGAAATCCGTTGGTCGCTGTTTTGAATCTTACTGCAACCCGGATCATTATTTCACATTCAGTCATCACCCGGTATCAAAACAAGTCAGCCATACCACATCTATCGAATATGGTCAAACTGATAGTCTATAATTTGACTGAAATAAATGTAAAACTCGGGCAATATGATAGAATATAACTCTGTATAGGATTTGTTTATTTGATATTTAGCGCACAGTGACACAGTATTATTTATCTGATGACTTTCAAGCATAAATTATTGCTCACAATCATATCAATGTAATCACACCCCTTTCAATATCTATCTGATTTTTATAGTCCTATCACTATATATATTCTTGGTTTCTATTGGTACTAAAATTTTCCATATCTCTGATAAAGGTGTTGCATCATCCCCCTTTACATGTGTTATGTGTTGATTCGATGCACAAAGATTCAGCAATATATATGACAGTAACATAGTAATTACTAAATCTGGTAAAGTTAGTTCAACGGTAGTTATAGACAAATCTGATTATCTCAACAAAATTGATGAACATACCCAAACAGGAAGAGATCAAGAAACGTTTAGACATTGCCATGAGTAAAATTAAGAAATAAACAACAGATCTGATACGCCAACTGATGGCATCTTTAGGTGAGTCCAAATAATTTAATTTAATGCCTGAAACTAATAATCCTATCAGAATTTATGGTACTATTATGACTCATAAACCGCGTTATACCATTATACTGATAGTCGACTTCCGAAATACTTCTACACATAAACCATCAACGTACCTAGGATTAATATTATGTCCTATTAGAAACCGTCCGAATTCTAGACTAGTCAATTCTAATGAGTTAAAACAAAGAAAAGAATGAAAAAATGTTTAGTTTTAGAGTAAGAAGTCTTTATACTGATACACCAACCAGTATGTCACTAGAGGCATTCAGAAGTCAACTACATACTGACTCAGAACTTACTCATAGGACTAAGATATCGGTTGATGAAATCACATTGAGCGTAAAGTTGTGCTTGACCTCCACAGTCTTCAAGTTTCAAGAAAAAATATATAGACGAAACAGAAGGAGTAGCAAAAGGATCACCAATATACCAAGTCCTAACAGATATATTTATGGACAGTTGGGAAAACATAATGTTATAAGCGTTTAGTCCTGAACCTAGGATATGGTGGTGATGTATGGATGATACATTTACTGTGTTGAAATCGGAATATATCAACAATTTCCTCCCACACATAAACTCAGTAGTAAGCCCAATCCAATTCACCTACGAGGAGGTAGGAAATGAACAAGGATAATGACATGTGCTGGATTGCAGGATAAAACAAAGAACAGATGGTGGTTTGAATACTACCATCTACAGGAAACTGACACAATCTAACAGGTATCTAGACTTCAGGACATCTCATCCAGTGTCAGTTAAGGCAAGTTTACTCAAATGTCGAAATGATAGAGCTAAAACAGCTCACCAGTCATTATGAGGACTTAAACAAGGAATTGAAATACATAAGAGAAGCGTTAATAATCAGTAATTATCCTCCACAGTTTATTAAAAAATTCGTAGGAAAATATAAGAAACAAAATATTGACAGTAATAGGAATAAAAATAATGGGGATAACAAGAGTAGAAATAAGTTCAAAGCCTCTATCGTGTTATCATACAAGGAAGGAATATCAGTAACTTTAAGTATGATTCTCAATAAGGCTGGAATTAGGGTGGCAGTGGCAGTTGAACCTACAAACTCACTCAAAGATATACTCTGTCGGCTTAAGGATCTGATAGAACCAATTAAGCGAAATAATCTAATCTATCAAATTTCATGTAACGACTGTGAGGTCAAGTACATTATTGTTATTATTATTTGTCCCTTGTGTTCCTAATGGAACATAGGGCTTCAGGAGCACGTCTCCAAACATAGTGCAGACATTCCATGTCCCCTTTGATGTCCGCTTTGATCGAGAGCAGACACATCAGCCAACTGGCTTCCTGAAGGCTTTCGCCAACCTGCGTCACTTCGTCTCCCCAATTCCAGCGAGGAATAAGTCTGTTTTTACTTTATATATTTTGTTTGTCCTTTGAGGTTTCTTGAGCGATTGGATTAGTTATACGCAGTAGGGTTGCCAGCCCTATGGCCAACCTTCCCGCTTTACCCGGGCCTAAGACCGGCTAGTAACTAGTGAACTAGTTAACCAGGAGAGGTTAGCTCGAATACTTAGGTCAAACTAATCGTTCACGGTCAGTTAGATTAGCGGAACGTAGGGACTTAGCTAAGTATAAAATGAGAGACCCCAATAAGATCAAGAATCTAGAAAAACAACTCTACTGTGGCAATGCATGCATACATTAACACACAACTTCAGAATACGGTGGAGTAAAACCACTGTACTCAAGTTCAGTGTAATTAGGTGGATATATATATATATATATATATATATATATATATATATATATATATATATATTGATTACTGAATCTTTCTGCATCTAACCAATACACAACACATGTAAAAGGGGATGATACAACACCTATATCAGATATGTGGAAAATTTTACTGCCACCGACATCAAAGAATATGAGTTGAGTGACAGGACTATGAAAATCAGATAGGTATTGAAAGGGGTGTGATTACATTGATATCATTGTGAACAATAATTTATGCTTGAAAGTCATCAGATAAATAATACTGTGTCACTGTACGTTAAGTATCAAATAAATAAATGTGTTATAAAATTATGATTTGAATGATTTGAAAATTTTTCACTATGCCAAACAAACTTACACATAACTCTCCTTCAACTTCGTATACTATCTTGTTAGACATTAGATTGATATTGTGAGAAAATTCGAAGAATCTCATAAAATCTTCTAAACATGGAAACTGATACTGTTGATAACTGTAAGACAGACAATGGTGTGAATAATATTTGGTTTACCTTTTTACATTTGTAAGACATTTCTTCACAGAGGTTGAACATTTTGTAAATAACAACCTCCTGCTGAAAAGGATTACATGTGACTGCTTTTTGCACTTTATAGATTGGTTGGTATGAGTTACAGTGAAATCACCTTCCAATAAAAATTTTCCAAGCTTTGATGGTCTAATCTGATGTAAATAAAGTAAGCTTTAGCATAAATATACTACAGATAGGTAACAAGTAAACCAGTCAATCAGTTTAACAACTGAAACTGTAATATTAAGCGAGATAGTGTCTTTATCAAAAGATAAGATGTATGTGAATGGAGAAAACTTTGTGTATGACCTGGTTAACCACCAGCTTCAAAAACTATTCTTCATGTCTGTTATGAGTAGAATGCAAATTGATCACCAACTTGATTCTTGAACACTTAGTTAACTGTGATCACTTTATTCAAGTCTCTCTACCAGTCTCTCTTCAGTGGAACTGGTTACATGGGCTACACAAAGCTTGTTTTAGCCAAATGCATCTCCAAATACTGTCATGTGGAGTAAGATATACTGATTGTACTCATCGTTCAATTTCTAAAGGGATTTTCGAACATATGCCAACTTGGTTCAACAAAAGAGAACGAAGAGGACCTCACAGGTCTATCTTAAGACATATGATGGATTGTAACCACCTGGTAAATGATGGATACAACTTCAGTGTCATCCACAGAGTTTGTAAAAGACTAGTGAAAGGTCTACACCTGAAACTTTTTCAAACTGTAGAAGTCAGGGGGATTAATATTTTGAAGCTTGAAATCTGCCTTCAAAAAGAATTTCTTCATTCACTTCACTTGCAATGGACATGGCCCATAAGAACATTTCTCGCTCAAAATTTTTTTGCATAGCTTCTCGTACACTAAATGTTTTCCACCCTTATATTTCTGATTTCTCACCGCACTCAACAGGCCCTTCAGTCATATTACTATAGTGTATAGTTGTCTATAGAAGAATGAAAATTGATCAAATGTCAGTTGCTGATCACATTTATCAAAATCTGGCAGTGTACGAATGATATGATGCTGAGAGTGACTCACTGAAGACTTTCATACTGTTTCAATATGCCTATTCACTAGTTTGCGGAGAAAGAATAAAAATCAAACTTATTCTCGAGTGATATAATAACTTCAAAATTCATCTAAACTAATGCATATATATATATATATATATATGTACAGCCAGGTAGGTAGGTGTGGGGTGGTAGGTAGCTAGGTAGGTAACCAGGCAGACTGGCAGGCAGGGTGGTAGGTAGGTACTGATTTGACGATTAATCATCCTTCCCATCTGTTGACATTAAACTTTGTTATTTCCAAATAAAAGTGATTTTTTCGCTATTCTTGATTCAGTAGAGATGAACATTTTTCATGGGCATTTATACTCTTGCGTTCTAGTTGGTTTGGTTTTGGTTAATCTGTGATGCTCATTCAGCTCGACCTTTAGTAATTTCAAAGTTTTATATTAAACTGTTTCACTTCACAAAATTTTTCATTGATATTATCAAAATAACCTTTTAAATTCATCACTTTCCCAGCCTAAAGTTTTCTAAGTGAAAGTTTCATCTTCAAGGAAGTAAATTTGGTGTATTTCTTTTGAGTATTCATACAGACAATTATAACTACACTTCACTATAGACTTGCAATAAAGATAATAATCAGTGTTATTGCTTGTATTACACCGTCGTTGATTGGACCGAATTGATCAGTCTCTGTTGGCATATGTGGTTGCCTCGATGCTGCCTGTCTTTTAACTATATTTAGTAATGATGGGCAGTGGCTAGTAGTGGAATCCAGGATGCTTATTTCGGCCTATTGGGACTCGTCAGTTGGATGTACCTAGGTCCCAGTGAGTGATTTTGTTCCCACCGGGACTCGGACTCGGGAGCGATCGCTTCAAACGCCAGCGCTTTATCCACTACACCACCAACCCACGATGGCCACTTCTTGTGCGACGGGTATAGGTTTTTAGTGTTACTGCTTGTATTACATGCGCATCCTGGGTTCCACTGCTAGCCACTGCCCATCATTACTAAAGATAATAATTAGGTTGAAACTTCGAGAAAATACTTAGAACCGGAAGACAATTGCACAGTTACAACATTCATAACCGCAACTATAAATATCAACTATCATATCGGCGTGGTTATATCACGAACTGCTAACATGCGAGGAAACTTTAAAAGTCATAACATAAAAAGTTCTGAATGTAGATATTGAATGTAGGAAGTTGAACGATGGTTGCAGAATAATGTGGCACTACTTTGTTTCGCCGGTATCTCGTCAGCCTGTAGCAAGTGAAGACATTTGAATACCAAATAACAAAAGTTTGAACATGATGTATGCAGTTAAATGAAATTATGTGATAGGAAACGGCTTAAATGGAAATCAACATTTTAAGTCATTAGTCACTAAGGTAGAAGTTCCTGTACCTGATTCGTTGTTTTAAACCGCTGTGTGGTCAGGAAAAACTTTATTGGACAATTCATACTACATTTGACCAATCAGAATCAGGCATTTGACTTTTGCCCTAGTGGCTTCATAGATATTCATGAAAACTCTATGTAAATGATGTATTTTGGTCGAATGAAGTTTCTTCCTTACAATCACAAGGTAGTCCTTGTCTGCATATATTTTCGTACCTCAGTGAAGTTTAGGGTACTGAGGGAGAACACTCAAAGTCCTTATCCAATCAAGATGTATCGTTTCGTTAGTAGCGTTTTTGTTTTTCATAGTATTTTACTCAGTCACTTCATTTTTCATCTTTTAAGTGTATTTTTATCCTTCATAATTTTGTATGAATATTTTTCAACAGCGCCCAATCAGGATGGACAATGAGTGTACATGAGTAACAATAATATCTATTAGTAACTACCGTTAGACCCCAAAGATTGATTGTCACGTTCAGCGTTTCGCACATTCCCCTTAGTATTTTTTGGGCATCATCCATGGCTTTGCTAAAAATTAAAAAAATATTTACACTGCATTAGTGATTGAAGAGAAGGAAGTATAAAAGTTCTCGTAATCAAAATACTCATTGTATCTGAGGTTGTATACATATTTTGCGCGATGACCTTTAGCGTTTCAATGAGAAATTGATCATCTTCAAGGTTTTGCGGGTACATTTATCATTTGAAAGTGCAAGACTTATCAGTATAAGTAAGCTAGTCTCACTTTCATCTGCTGTATTGTGGTATGTATTAAATGGTTCCAACTAACTGCTACATTCGAACTTGGTTTAACGATTCCAGGATTTTATTTATATTAAGGCTGAGGAAAAATATTAACTCTTCGGGCTGAGGTAGGCCAAGAAAAACCTATGTTTCTTCTTAGCTCCTAATGGATATAGTATTTACCAAAACACATCGAAAAGATAAGAGAGGCAAAATTAAATAATGAATAAATAAGAATAAATGGTAGAACTAAACTTTAGTTGCGGCCAATCACTTTCAAGTATGTATTGGCCAATCAGAACCCAGCATATGAAGGACAAGGTAATTATGAACGGAAATTGTACTTCATTTAAAATTTATAAAGCTGTTTTACATGAGAAATAAAAATGTCTAGATTTTCATTAGGTTTGTCATCTTTGAAACCATACCTTAGTCTGCATTACGACTCGTCCACATGACACCATATCATATTCCCTCCTGATCTTGCTAAAGGTCTTAAAAAATTCCTAAGGTAAATCTACATATTTCAGCTTTATTTGTGTGCACTTCGGTTGCTGGATCATCAAAGTGTTTCTCCTGAACAATAACTTGATGGGGTAATCCACAGCAGATAATAGGAAATACGACCTCTAGTCATCTGTGTATCACGTGGTAGAACAGATAAGTCAGATCTATCCTTTATCTAGTCAAAACTAATTCCAGTCGCATTTACCAATAATCTTTGATTGGCAAGAAACATACTTGCAACTCACCCAATCGTGTTCAAGTCGTCTTCTTTGGTTATATTTGCGTTTCTGATCAAGACATTCATCTATTTCTACCATATTATCTGCTCAATCAAACTTCTTATCCAACCTGGATATTATTTTGGGACAAATATCTCTGAAGTGCTAATACCACTACACTGAAGAAACTTCATTAGTATCTGCTTGAGCTCTTGCTGATATTACAGGCTTTCCGACAACCCAATATATCACTAAAACCATTATTTGTTAGAGAGTTAGACGAGATCCTTTGGGTAACGATCCTGTTCCCAAAGATTTCTGCTCGTAACAGTTGGTATAAGGAAAGGTGAAGCCATTTCTCCTCTCATTGTTGGGTACACAATCCATTACGAAACCTCATTCATAAATTAGGTTTTTAGCAAGCGTTTAAATCCCTGCAAATAACCTACGACGTAGTCTTCATCATAATTTCTCAGACGTCTATGCAACGTCGAATGAACGCAACTTATGACCCTGGATGCAGCATCTGCAAAGTGATTGGCAGTCTTCAAGGTCTAATGCCACTGAAGATCTTTTCTAGCGAATGAACAATTCATAAATCAAGGTAGTTCACTAGTGACTGGCTGTCATGCTTATCCGCAGCACACTTGGCCATAATTCAACTGCCAGTTAAATTGTATTCTTCAGTCGAATACAGTCTATAGACATAAATATATACGAAATACTCAGTGTACTGTGAAATATATTTATAATCATAAATAATCTATGTGAATGAGTTCGTTTTAAGATGCCACAGAGCTTTGATTACCCAGCATGAATGTGTATAAGCTGGAGCAAATTATCAATGAAGCAGGTTTATATTTGGCTCTAACAGTATAATCGTCAGTTCTTGAGGATTCTTACTTCATTGCCATCGTTGGTTTTTAATCTTCTCAGATATAACGCTATCATTATTCCGCGGCATAGAGGACAACGCCTTGACGTTTGAAGCGGTGGGTATGGGGTTCAAGTCTCAGTGGGAACAACATCACTCACTGGGGTGCAGGTACATCCAGCTGAAGAGTCCCAAACAAGACAAAACGGGCATGCTGGATTCTTCTGCTGGCCATAACCAACCAAATTATCATAAATAACATTTAGGCAATATCGAGGCATCCGCGTAGCAGTCCATATGCCAATGGAGGTTGAAAAATTCCACCCAACAAAACAACGGAGAATAACAAGTATGTCAACAAATAGTAACACTCGCTCCCACTAAAAATATACATTTTGATATTCATAACAATTTCTGTATCACTAACTAACTACTTCGCAATTATTTGTAAAGTTTGCTTAGTCAGCTAGTCATCATTAAGGTGTTGGTCATCCGGTTAATTAACAACTTTGGCTTAGAGGACGGTGACTAGTTTATTTGGAGTTACTCAGAGCTTTTCGCAATTAGTTGACCATAGTGTGATTGGTCATTGTTTCCTTGTAAGACCTCATCATGATGACTGACCTCCTTGAAACACCAGCTTATGTCAAAATTGAACTGCGAATAATATCATTTAGAAGTACATTGGTTGATCACTGGAGGGTAACCATTATTGTAGTACTAAACAATATGAAGATGTTTACCCTCCAATGACCAACCAATGTATATAACCCAGTCCAGCAGAAGGTCAGTCGAAGCCCAAATAGATCGGTGACAACGTTATTGACTATAACACTCGGTAATGTGGGTCCGAATCTCAAGTGGGACAACAGTTCCATCGGGGCCGCAGACATGCCTTGCCGATGACTGCCAACAAGCACGAAGCCGAGGTCTAGGGATTCCTGGTGGTTACCTCCAACCAACTGATATCATTGAGGAGTCTGTCGAATTTAAACTGAAGTATAAAACTCAGTTGAGCAAAAGAAGCCTCGACGTTTGATTGCACATATCCCAGCATCTGTTCATAGTCAAATTTCGACGATGACTCACTAAAACCAATATCTGGTTTGTCATAGAAAGGCTTCTTTTAGTCATGCCTTCATTTTAACCAACAAAAAACTTTGCGAACGCATACTTAAGCCAAGAGAGACACTTCGAAGTACAAAGACGACAGACCGAATGGTGTGGTAATACAAAAAGTCAACAAGTGAAACATTCATTCGGTAATTTTTCTACATAACTTACATGTCAGAAATGTTCGCCTCTTTTTTAAGTCTACCCACTAATAAATGATAGCACTGAATGCGTTGAACAGGTGTATTCAAATGAATCTTGAGTAATCCTGTAGAATAACTGTTTCGTTCTGATATCTCACTTAATCCATCACCTCCTTGTAGTAAACTAGCTTTTTTAAGTGAGATGTTTTCTAAGTAAGTGTAAAGTTGATTGGATTTTTCGTGGAATGAACAATATGTTGTATACAAATCTATCAAATAAGGAGCCTAAGAAAAATTGAACAAAATTGAGAAAAAAACATACTGCTTTGAAAGAGATGAGAACGGTACATAATATCTTAAAAGTATAGCTCAAATAACTCTGAAAGAAAGTTCAGAAATACTGATTGGACTATACACAGTGATGACGATTTGACTGGAGACGTTTCTCTCAGAACTAGTCGAACCACTAACCTGCAGATTTCCACCTTGATGATCCATCAGACAGACACAATCAACGTAGAATTCCGTATACAAGTGCACTGGTTCAAATTGCCACACTTTACACTAGTATAAAAAGAAGTTAATAAAAAAAGAGTGATATCAAAGTAGAAAAAGTTGTGTGAAAGAATACACAATTTAAAGGTAGAATTTAGTGCAAATATTCAAGCTGTAGAAGAGATTAAAAAGTGAATACATCTGCGCTGTTGTCACCGATTTTCAACCATTTCACTCAGAGTTCTGAACCACCGAATCCTGTCCTCTAGGTGGCTCCAGATGATAGATCGATTGATCGCTAACCACGCACTGACTTCCATCATCCCCAATTCTTCACTCACCCAGTCAAACTTTATTTTCATTCTGAAAGTTTTTCAAGCTTCTACTTCTGCTTTCGGTATATTTCGTTTCACTTTTATCTCTTGTATGAATGTTCAGACACACTGTTTTGGTACTTTGTCTTCATCTGTCTTTTTTATAATAGATTTGTTTATTTGATATATGGCGCACAGTTATTATTATTATTTGTTCTTTGGATTCCTAGTGGAACATAGGCCTTCTGTAGCACGTCACCATTTCGCCCTACTCTCTGCAGTCTTTTTAACCTGACTTCACCACTGCCCATAAGCTTTCATTTCTTACTCCCATGATCTCCTCCATGTCACACTCACCTCAGACACCCAACTCGTCGTTTCCCATTTCGATTCCACTCGATGACCTGGCCTCACACGTGATCTCCCCAAAACCGTCTTCTCAGTCTATGTCCAACCTAATCCAATCCAATCCAGTTCATCTCCACTTTCTTCTACATATTCATTGGGAGATAGCTTCTTAGTTGCTTGGTTGGTCGGTTCGTTACCATAGTGAGCTACTTATTGGTGTTGCTTATTTTTTCTCGCCTTCTGATCTGACCTCCAGTATCGAGTGAGTGTAGGTGGCAGCTGTTGATGATGTATGTCTGTAGTTTGCTGGAAATGCTTCTCGTAACGCACCAAGTCTCTCAACCATCATATGGAGGTACTGACTTACTTGACTGGCATTAGTGTTGTAAATCCGGATGTTGTTCACGCCTTATGTTGAGTGGAGTGCAGTGGAGTGCAATAGATCTCCACACTGCTTTCAGGTTAATGCAGGAAGGCCTGTCTTGTTGTCTTGTCGATCCTGGCTGGCTCATACGTTCTCAGCTGCGCCGCCTTTTGTTGAGACGATGCTGCCTGCCTAAGTAGAGAGAAACAACTTCCTTTGGATTTCTCCCGTTGATGGTGCTTGTTGTTGTTGTTGGTTGGGTATCTTCATCACCACTGTCTTCTCTACATTCACTTTTAGTCCCGTCTTCGCTACCCCACCTCTTCTGTCAACTTGTTAGTTTTTGCCTGTAGATCTTGAAGTTTATGTGACAAGATATCAGACATAAATCATCATCACCGGAGACATCTAAAACTTCTAGGGTCTTTTTATCGACCTAGACCCTAGAAGATTTGGATTTAGCCAATGATTTGTGTCTAATGTCACACAAACTCGCACAAACGCACACAGCGATACAGCGTTATTTACTTGATGACTTTTCTAGAATAAGTTATTGTTCACGATCATATCAATGTAATAACACTATTTTCGACATCTGATTTTTATAATCCTATCACCTCATATAATTTGATTCTATTTATAGTAAAGTTTTTCATATCTTCGGAATAGGTGTTGTGATATTCCTATTGCATGTGTTGGGTGTCGATGAATAAACTACAAACTCGATCAGAGACAAACTTTTTCAGATTAAGAATCCAACGGACCCAATTACATGGAATCATTTGAACTACCAAAATCCCTGCAGGGACAGTGAGATCAAGTACATAGATCAAACTAACCAATCAAGATCAATTATATTATCCGGGGGTAGGAATTTAGTCTAATGTAGAATGACAGCCTCCAATAGGATCAGTACTCTAGAAAGAGACTCAGCTATTGCAATGGAACTGGTAGAATTATTGTTTCGCTCCAGTTTGCTGAAGTAGGGTACAACTTTAAACAAATATAAGCTTGGACTCAAATATCCTTTGGGTAGTGTTTTACTATACTGACACCTTTGGAACAAATGTTGCACTGGGTTACGTGTATTTTATCGTCAATGCGAAGGGTCATACGTCTCTACATACTGTTCAAAACATTGTTTTATGAAATTTGAAACAGTTAGTCCTTCCACTGTAACCTGAAAAGTAGAATTGGAAACAGAGTTTATCTGAAAACTGTAATGTATCTGATTACAAGTTTACTTGTCAAGGTACTTTATGCATGAAAAATGCAAATATAAGAGCAATTCCATATTAGATTTGTTTACTCGATGTAGCACACAGAAGAAGGAACATAAGAAACCTCACGTAGAATCCTCAACAAAACTGGACTTAGGGTGGCAGTGGCACTTAAACCTACAAACTCACTCAGAGGTAAACTGTTTCTGCTTAAGAATCCGATAGATCAAATTAAGCAAGATAATCTAATCTATCAAATTGCATGTAATGAATGTGAGGTCAAGTACATAGGTCAAACTAATCGTTCACGGTCAGTTAGATTAGCGGAACATAGGGACTTAGCTAAGTATAGAATGACAGACCCCAATAAGATCAAGAATCTAGAAAAACAACTCTACTGTGGCAATGCATGCATACATTAACACACAACCTCATAATAAGGTGGAGTAAAACCACTGTACTCAAGTTCAGTGTAGTTAGGTGGAGAGAGAGAGAGAGAGAGAAATTGATCATTGAATCTTTGTGCATCGAATCAACACATAACACATGTAAAGGGGGATGATGCAACACCTTTATCAGAGATATGGAAAATTTTAGTACCAATAGAAACCAAGAATATATATGGTGATAGGACTATAAAAATCAGATAGATATTGAAAGGGGTGTGATTACATTGATATGATTGTGAACAATAATTTATGCTTGAAAGTCATCAGATAAATAATACTGTATCACTGTAGGTTAAATACCAAATAAAGAAATTTTATTTGGAATTACATTCTGCCATGGTGACCAAGTTTTACACCTAAATTAATTAGTCTTCTCTTTTTGGAATGGTACCCTTAACCGCCTTCTCATTACTTCCTACTGCATTGAAGTTTAGTCCACTATGCCACTACAAATAACTGAAGCCTCAGATAAACCGATAACTGAACAACAGTCACATCCCAGTTCATAAATCATCCGATTTATAGAGTATAGACCTAAAGTCTGAATCCTGTAACATCCTTGATTTCTTTTCAACTTTAATAAGTAAGTTTATGCAAATAAACTGCTAATATCGTTTAACGGGTACTAAATGCAACAAATGTATGTGTACTCAGTTATTCGTCTTTTGCCATTAACATAAAGGAAAGGGATTTTCAAGTTTACTCACTGTTTTAAGTTGTAGTCTTTAGAATGTCTTTCCTTCGAACTACTATGAAGTGTTTCTATTACTCCATGTAGGCTCATTTTTTAGGGTTCACTTAGTCTTCATTTCATATCTTTATTTTATTTTACTCTATTCCAGACTACCGTTTTGGGTGAGCAGACAAATAAAGACAAGTTTTCATGTACACCGCTTAAAAAGACTTACGAAAACTATTTATACATCTGTCAACGGTCTTTAAAGGCTTTTAACATTCGAACCCAACTGAAAGATGTTTTATTCAGTCTCCCTACTTGACCATAGGGAATTTCATTTGATTACATCCATGCAGAACTGACCATCTTGTTCCACTTTAGTCTGTTTATTAGAAATGTCACACAGTAAAAGAACAGCATTATTCACCGGCTAACGTTTCGGACATAATCTATTTTTTATATATTCCTAATTTTCTCACCTTCTCTGTGATGACAAGGGTGGCAGAGTTTTCCATATATGTGGGACTGGTGCATAATCATTCCGCATTGCATGTATGTGGTGTTGATCAGATAAGCAGAAATTTGATTATCAACCTCTCCCCTCACCCAGCTAAGTTTTTAGTGCTGTTGCTCTGCCCCACCCTATTGTGTAATTGTGTGCGATTCCATGCATAGCTATAACACAGATGTTAATAATATTTCTGCCGTTAATAATAGTGGTAGTAATAATAGTGACAGGGTGGAGAGAAAACTTAAAGTCTCTACTACTTTTCCATACCAAGAAGGTAGAAGTGTTATGATCTGGATTCAACAACCCAGCTCAGAGAACACAATACAACCATGACCATCCACCTGAGCTACAAATATTCTACATTATTTCAGAAGTGTTATGAAAAATTGTCAATAAGTCTGCCACTTTAAGTGCCATTCAAACTGACAAACTAGGCTAAGAAAGAGACACTGTAGCTTAAAGGAACCAATTTAGTCTATCAAACCGCTTGGAATGGTTGTGAGGTCAAATGTACAGGTAAACGTTTTCAACTAGGGTCATTTGGAAAAACAGAGCACAAAAACAGCTAGATCAAGCTTAGCAGATCCCAATAAGATAGGGAATATAGGGGAAAACTCGGTTATAGCTGTGCATGCAGTTGTACACAATCACACAAAACGGTGGGACAGAGTGAGAGTATTAAAAACTAACTTAGTTGTTTGGGGGAAGAGATTGATTACCGAATCTCTGCAATGCGGAATCACTCTTCACCTGTCACAAATGTATGGAAAATTCAACTAATCCTATTACAGATAAGGAGCGCAGACAAACTCTGTCTCAAAGTTGTGGAGTTATCTTGATATGAATATGGGGAATTAATTGTAGTCGAAATGTTATCTAATAAATAATACAGTTTCCGTGTGTAACACACGTGATAAACGGACCAAAGTGGAATTACAGTCTATCATACTTCGCTGTTGTTACTCCTATGTTAATCAAAATCCAGCCTTTTATCCTCTAATATTTATTCGCCGAAGCCTTGTGTTTTTATTGCAACTTTTCTTTCTATAACCTACAATCTAGCCATATCATTTACACATATATTACATGACACTTTCTTAAGTCACCACCATGAATTATTTGATGATCAGAGTTCACTGTATCCAAATAAATACTGCAACATGACGGGAAAATGTCGCCTACAATAAGACTCTCTTTTGCTATTATGCCAATCGCCTTCTCAATCATTCCAGCCCCACAGAGCTTCTAAGTGGGTAACTTTGTTTCATGACTTGAAAAAAGAAATTAAAACTCATATTTTGTGCTACTGTTCAATTGTGTTATAGGAACTAGCTCTATTTGAGAAGAGTAACTACCACAACAGTTTTGTGAGCATACTAGTAGTCATAAGGGTGAAATCTTTGAAACTAGTAATTACAATGTAACCAGTAGCGACTATATATCTCAAGGTTATCTACGTAATTCAAACGTGATAAAGGCAATGCTTGGATAATTATGCGCAAACTAAGAGACAGTAAATCAGAAAGTAATTGAGGCAATGAACCATACAGTTTATATCCACTACTGTGGGTAGGATACAGTTATTTTGACTGATGTGGAATGCAGTGATCAGTCAGCTAAGTAAATCGAAATGGATATCATCTTGTCTTATCCCTCACAAATGACAGAATTCCATGGAGCATATTCCAGTGGTATAGTTCTCAGTTACAGAGATGAGTTCCAGGAGTTTACAGCTATCAAAAAACGTGATTTTGCCTAAGATTGCAGATAATCTTTACTGATCAGTGTCTGAATTAGAAGACCTGTGTCTTGTAAGACCTAATGACAATTCTGTCTGACTGGTCAAAGCAACAAGCAGTCAATATCCTTTCTTTCTTAATGGTTATATCTGCATTCTCGCACACTTACAAGTGTCTTATAGCAGGAAGTGTTTTCCTTTAAGTTAATCTTTTAAAAACCAACTGTAAAAACTGAATTGTCTGGTTTTCCGTTTTTAATTGACCTAGTGTTATGCGGGATCCGTGACTCAGTAGCACTGTATCATATATTAAAAAATGATTGACAACAATTAATTGAAACCTACTACGATTGAAGCCCAACACCTGATCATCTTAGCGTTTCCATTGCATACCTCCAGAGAAGGTAATAGGCGACTGAAAAGTTAGAAGTAAGAAAAAGAAAGCAGTTATTTGCGAATAATGGAGGTTGTTTGAAAAAAAACTTTTAAGTAAGTTAATAAGTGGAAAAAATTGTCGTTCAGATAACTTACAGGATTTATGTCCAGGTATCATTTAAGAGGGATAGGTATTATGCTTAGAACCTCAACCTTACACTCAATAATACAGATTCCTTGACTGTCCGGCTACCGTTCTTTGGACTACTCTTTTTATCTTGAAAATACCTTATTCCTAAGCTATCATTAGTTCTGTCATCTAAGACAAACAGTATCTGGTTTAGTGCGAAGCATTTCCTGACTGACTTGTGAAAACTTCAGCAGTTTTTTTCCTCAAGCGTGAGCCTCTGATTGATAGAGCTTCTTACATTACCTCAGGTATAGTTTTCAGTCCTTTCTCATCGGAAAGTAAATCTAATACATTCCACACAACTGCTTCCGGTGAATATTTTGACAGTACTCGGTAGCATGTGAAACTTTGATTTATTTCTCTCTTGTTATAGGTTTAGTTTCTACTGCATCAATCATGGCATGAATTTTCGAACATCCCTTGTCAGTTTATACTGTTTACAACGATTGAGGGCTGAATAACACACAGTACCGTTTTACTTCGCCACTTTCTCATCAGATGATTACAACCACAAAACATTTATATATCATATTACAGAAGATAAAAAGCCTTTTCTACAATTACATGAAGTTAGTTAACTAGGAATGACATGGTTGAATGAAGAATACAAACATCCAGATACGTTTGATAAATCATGGTAAGTAGTTTCGGTCATATATATGATTCAACAGAGAGTTTGATATGAGTATATGAGTAATAATAACCTTGAGAAGACAAAACTTATGCGTGGACCTAAGAAAAATTTGTTTTATTCCAAGTAGGTCAATGACAAACCTGTCGTGTGCAGTAACTTACTATATATGTCGTACTTACTCGAAAGGTTCGGTGATTCCTATGAAAATATCAGGTCCACCATGAAACATGAAAGCAATCAGAGGTTAAGATTTTTAGACATCGTCTTGCAACGTAGAAATGATAATACTATTCAAAGATTTATTCATTAAAGAAGTACATGGATTGGATTATACTTAAATTTCAGCAGATTTTGACCAATCACTTTTAAAAGAGTATTGGTCAAAACACTATTTTACAAAGATAAAAGTATATGTTCAGGTGATAAATTGCAAGATAATTCGTTGAGCCTTCAAAAAAGCTCTGTGAGAGAATGGTTACCTACAAGAGTTTATCAACAAATTTGGAAGATCTGAAGACAACAAGTCAAGGAAAATCACCTTACCAAGAAGTCTATTTTTATTGAATTCAACCTAAAAGGTAAGATGTCGCTGGAAGAATTAATAGAAGACTGTAAGCTACAAATAACACAGCATATCCTGCAGGCAAGCTGATCCCTGTTTACATAACAATATGCTAACTAGCTGACAGGTTTTCTTCCCGTGTCACCTCTGATTGTATATACAAGTTTACGCGCATCTGCAATAGCAGTTACACTGATAGAACAGATAGATGGGCATACCTTAGATAATTTGGAAATGTATCAAAAGCCAACATCTCAGGAGAACAAACGCTTTCAGTGGTGCAGTCACTTAGCATGAACCATATACTCTAGAATCCTTCAAGGTAATCAATGAACAATCTGATTCGAACCTTCTTAGGTTCTCTAAGGTCGCACATATCAAACTAATTAAATGAGAATTGTATATTCAAAACAAAGCAGCAATAAATCTTTCTTTGCCCTAGTAGACTAATATCTTAATCTTCTTATTTCTTCATGACATCATCAATTGACTAGACCTTTCTTCTCTTCGCACACAAATGCAGTGATTGTTCTATCAACTGAGTTCAAATCATTTTAATAGAACGCAATTTGTCTATCCTTTATCATTGGCTAACCAACTTGATAATCTTTCCACAGTCTTTGATTACTAACCTTATTCTTTCATCAAACTCTCTGTTGAATCATGTATATAACCGAAACTACTTACCATGATTTATCAAACGTATCTGGATGTTAGTATTCTTCATTCAACCATGTCATTCCTAGTTAACTAACTTCATGTAATTGTAGAAAAGGCTTTTTATCTTCTGTAATATGATACATAAATGTTTTGTGGTTGTAATCATCTGATGAGAAAGTGGCGAAGTAAAACGGTACTGTGTGTCATTCAGCCCCCAATCGTTCTTCTTTCTTTCTTTGAATTCATAAAGCGGAATGTGTGTATGAAACGACTTATTTTTTTAAATACCCTGTTAATTGACTCATTAGATTTATCACGGTGTGTAACATTACTTTTTGTTGCTCATCAATCAGGTTATCCTATTAGATTCATTGTCGACTTTAGAAATACTCCTGCTTATGACATCTAAATATTTAACAATGGTACTACATTTCGTTAAAAATCTTTCCAAATCGAGAATTACTGACTCTTATGACTTGAAGCATAGATTGGATGACATACATTTAGATGACAATAAAAAAAATGGTTATGTTTGATGCAGTTAGTTTGTAAAACTATCATGGAGTTGAAAGCAGTTATAAACAAGCTCAATAATGACCATTAGTTTACATTACGAACTAAGGTACCAGTAGATGATGTCAAGCTAGGAGTACAGCTATGCCTAACCCCCATAATATTTAGGTTTCAGAACAAAATATGCAAAAAACAAGAGTTGCCATGGGATCAGCAATATCCCCCATTTTGTGTCTGACATATTTATGGACAGTTGCGAACGGATGGCTGTAAAAACATTTAGTCCGGCTCCAAATGTTTGGTTTTGATAAACAGACATCACGTTTACAGTGTTGAAATCGAAGCACATACATAGGTTCTTTACAGTTATAAATTCAGTAGTCAACACAAACCATTTCATCCATGAATGAGAAAATAGTGAAGCGGAATTAGTGATGTTGAATTGCAGAATAAAATGGAAACAGGGTGACAGAAAACCTTCACATCCAAATCGTTACTCAAACTTCGAATTATCTCGCTCTATGTCAGTTAAAGTTGGCTTGGTACTGTCGAAGTAACACGGCTAAAAAAATTACCAGTAAAACAGAAGATGTAAGACAAGAAATCAGATACCTTAAAGACACCTTTCTCACCAACAATCACCCTCTCAAAACAATTCATAAGTTCTGTAGGAATCGGAAGGAGAATATGATTAATATTAGTAACGGGTGGCAATAGTAGTAGTAACAATGTTAATAATAGTAGTTGCAATACTTTGAAGAGAGAATTCAAAACCTCTACAGTATTACCATAAAAAGGAGGCACCTCAAAAACACTACATAGGATTCTCAATAAGGCTGGCTTTGATTAGAGTGACACTTAAAACTATAAACTTACTCACGAATAAGTTTTGTAGGTTAAAAGATCTTATCAATCAAATTAAGCAGAATAACTTGGTTTATTGAATTCCTTGTAAGGATTGTCAAGTCATAAAGATAGGTCAAAGTAGTCGACCAGGATCAGTTAGGTTATCTGAGCACAAAAACCTAGCTAGGTCAAAATTAATAGATCTTCTTAAGGTAAGTAATTTAGAAGAAGCTCAGTCATAACTTATGTATGTGATTACACACAACCACATAATAGGATGAAACAGGGTGATAATCCGCCAAACTAACATAGCAGAGTGAATGGAGAGATTGACAACTGAATCTTTGTTTATCGAATCAACACCTAATATAGACAAGGGGAATGACTCTCAGCACATGTTCCGGATACATGGAAAATCTGACTACTCATATCACAAAGGAGGTGAGGGAATTAGGACTATGCAAAGGATATCTCAAAGTTGTGCACTTATCTTCATATGACGACTATAGACAACAGATTATGTCCGAAACGTAATCCAGTAAACATTACTGTTAAAGGAGACCTCAGTGTTTGCAAGAACTGGCGCGGAATCACCCTCCTATCCACCCCAAGTAAAATATTAAGCCGCATCATCCTGGAGAGGCTAAAGAATGCACTGGATTCAAAACTACGACCGGAACAGCCAGGCTTCAGGAAGTACAAATCATGTGCCGACCAAATTGCAACGCTTCGCATCATCATAGAACAGAGCATAGAATGGCAATCAGCTCTCTGCCTCAACTTCATCGACTTTGAGAAGGCCTTTGACAGCGTCGACCGAGAAGTAATTTGGAAACTGCTTCATTACTACGGAGTACCGAAAACCTTTATCCGCCTCATTCAACAACTATATGAAGATGCCACATGCCAAGTAATCCACAATGGGAAGCTCAGTGATGCTTTTGCAGTGAAGTGAAGACAGGAGTGAAACAAGGTTGCCTACTATTCCCCATGATATTCCTTATTGTGGTGGACTGGATCATGCAGCAAACAGTAGGCAGCGAGAAGAGGGGGATACACTGGACGACGGAAAAGAACCTAGAAGACTTGGATTTCGCCGATGACTTGTGCCTGATGTCACATAAACTTGAAGATCTGCAGGCGAAAATTAACAAGTTGATAGAAGAGGCAGCTAAGACGGGACTTCAGGTGAATATAGAGAAGACAGAGGTGATGAAGATACCGCACCACCACCATCAACAACAACAACAAACTCTAATCACCGTCAACGGGAGAAACTTAGAGGAAGTAACCTCCTTCACTTATCTAGGAAGCACTGTTTCAACTACAGGCGGGACAGATGAGGATGTCAAAGTCAGAATCGGAAAAGCAAGACAGGCGTTCATTAGCCTGAAACCAGTGTGGAGATCTTCTGCACTCAGCATGCGGAACAAGATACGGATGTTCAACACCAACGTCAAGTCAGTGCTTCTGTATGGCTCAGAGACTTGGCGCGTCACGAAAGGTATTTCCAATAAACTACAGACATTCATCAACAACTGCTTACAGTCGTTACTGAAGATCAGATGGCCACAAAGAATAAGCAACAAGGAACTCTGGGAACGAACCAACCAAGAAGCTGTCACCCAACAAATATGCAGGAGGAAGTGGAGATGGATTGGGAATACACTGAGAAGGCCGACTAGGGACATCACGCGTCAGGCCAGTCGCTCGAGTGGAATCCCCATGGGAAGCGACGAGTTGGACGTCCGAGGGTGACATGGAGGAGGTCGTGCGAGGAGGAAATGAGAGGTTGTGGGCTGTCGTGGGACCAGGTTCAAAAGATCTCAGAGAACAGAGGTCACTGGAGGCGTGCTACTGAAGCCCTATGTTCCACTAGGAACTCAAGGGACTAATAATAATAATAATAATAATAATAATAATAATAAACATTACTGTTCCTTCATTGTATGATAAATCTAATAAATCAATTAAAATGGAATTATATTCTATCACAGTACAAATGTCTTACTCCTTTATTGCTTTTGTTAAGTTGATCGACAACATCTTGAGGTCTTATGTTCTTAGATTCTGTAGTTTTTACATATGAAGTTGTCGGTTTGTTGATGAATTTACACTCAAATAAGTGACATCATATCAAGATATTTCACTATTATTTGATGTGGATAAACGCTCTATGCATTAAATTTGTTAGATAGTTCAATATTCAATGTAACGTCTATGACAGTCTGTGTAGTTTATCTTACATATCACGTTTGATCGGTTTTCTTTTGTCATTGGATCGTTGGATTTAAACCAATAAAATACTCTTTTTCAAGTCACAGAGGTAGCTTGCTGACTACCTCTTTGTATGTGTTTGTAGACTTTTTATTTGATTTTTAACTTACTTGTGCCGGACTCAGTTTTCTAGTAACATTGATACTTATCTGTTTTTTTGATTGATGGCTGTTGTAATGGGTAATCTAGTTTGTATTATATGAGTTTCCAAGATATTAAGTTTGAATATTTACATCTTCAATTGTTTCCGCCAATACATCTTGAAAAGTTAGATTGTTGTAAGACTTCATTTCCCGAAAAGGATTTTATATCTGTGAGTATTCTGTTAACTAAAGTGCTAGAATCCTATTTTATTTCTTTTAATGTTTTCATATATATTATCTACTTGATAAATCCATATTTTAGTGTTGTTATTTATGAGTGAGGTTAATTATTTCACTTACAGCACTACTGATTCGCTTATTAATCCTGAGATATGACATGCCATTGGAGTTCATTTTGTTTACTCGTGCATTTATTTATCGGATTAGGAACACATACAGAAGAAAACAAATGGTTATCTATCGTATAAGGTCTGCAACTTTTCTTCAGTGTAATTGATAAGATTGTTATTCAGTAAATCGTGTATTGCTTCTTTGACTAGTTTAAGGTTGATCAATATAAATATAATAGTGACATTAAAAGGAATGATGATGTCATCTATTTCTTGTATTAGGGATTTGATATTTTCCGAAAGCCTTACCAGTTGAATGATTGAAAGCTGTTAACCTTTGAAAACTTTTATTTTTATCTCAAAACTACAAGAACTGTGACCGTTAGTCATCATGGAAAATCGAGAGTACTAACTTTCGTTATTCAACATAAATGTGAAAATAAGTTGTTAAGTTTGATTCTCCATTAAATCAAGGTGCTTAACCTCATATTTTGGAAAGACCGGTTAGAGAGACACTGGAATCATGCCGGTAAGTATAAGTTAGAATCTTACAATTAACAACAACAGAACAGAATTGCAATAAAGTTATGGAAAATAAGCAAAAAAAGGTAAAGTATATATCAAATGAATATTCAGGTACTAGATATATTAGAGCCGATTTCAAGTCATCTCCTTGATAGTTATAAATCATTGATTTGTGACAGCTTTGAGAACCTAACTATCATGTTCTCACATCCATACAAAGAGTAAACTAACAGTCCAAGACTTGATGGACTGATGCTTACTTTACCCATAAAAAAACTTAGCTTCTGTTTAAATCTACCTCAAGAACAACCACATTCAAAGTCATTTATAAATTGAAAAGAAACCTCCCAAAGGCTGTATGTCTTCATATTCTCTGCAATGCCGAAGTTCTTCCCAACCATGTAGATAATAATAATAATAATAATAATAATAATAATAATAATAATAATGGCTTTATTCCAAACAATATGTATGACAGTATGGAATTCTCAGCATGTAAATTTTCAACAAATTCACTCCCAGAACAATACTTTCAGACAAAATGGCTAGTTCATCTAAATAATGTTACTGATAACAGTATTCAAGGCAATAATGTGAAATAGCCAGCTAGTTCTGGATGGGTATCCAGTCCATAATGAAGAAGTAACAAAAATGTAAGTGTAATTTTGGTGGTGGCGGTTCATTCAGATGGTACAAAAATCTGCAACTCAAGCTAAGCATCTGATGGATAGAAATATGATGTACATTTTCTCACCGAAAAGTCCATTTCCACATAACTTAGCATTTTTTCTCTCCTTTGTTATTGACTGGAGAAATGGGGAGTTGGAAACAGTTTTAAAATATACCAGAGTACATGATACGTTCAAAGGATATATTTAAATGATTCAAACAAACTGAAAGGAAAGAATTTGATGACGATTGTTCGATGGATAAATTTGGTAGCCGAAGGTTCAAGCAGACCGCCAATTGTTGGATAATTATGTAGTAATGCCATATCCTATGTTGATTTCCTCCATCTATCTGCCTTTCTTAACTAGTTATAATTCTAAGCTGCACAATAACAAATTTATACATCTTTCCAGTATAACCATTTGATAGTTGAAAACGGTTTGTAAAGCTTGTCAAACAACACAAATGGTGTCAATATATGAGCTGTTGTTAAAATCAAAAAGCCAAAAACTGATGAGTAGGGAATATTAATCATAATAAATTTCGACCAGAAGTCTCATTACATGATGACAGAATTGAAAGCTGAATTGTGATCAGATAAAGCAAAGCAATAAGAATGAGCAGAAAATTACTTAAGAAGTGAATAGTGTCAAAACAGAAACATGAAAAGAAAAAAGGGGGAAGTAGGGGAGACTGAAAACTAAGACCATGAAACAAGAAGAGGTTGATCAATCTTCTTTTGTGTACACAGTTCAGGCCTCTCCATTTGCATGACAAGAGCTTCGGCGATGAAGAGAATATGAAGAGATACAGTATTTGGAAGGTTTCTTTTCACTTCATAGATGACTCTGAATGGCGAAGTTCTTGAGATGCGGTAATTCGTGTTCACGATGTGTTCAATCATAGAGCTCCTTATCGCTCCATTGTTACCTCTTCGTAACCACGCGCATTAGTGTTCTTCAACCATTTGGGATAACAGTCATGTCAAACGACCTATATGCCTGGCTCCATGAGAGCAAGTGAATTGATATATGTACATAGAAGTGGTCAGATGTGAAATTGTCTCTTTTGAGTTGTTAGAAATCGCTGGGTGACAAGAGAATACTAGTTTCAGCGTTGATGCAAAGAATGTTCTCCTTACAGAGTTTGATATCCTCCTTTTATGAGTGTTGGCTGCAGAATAACATTTGAGGTTTAGATTCACATAGATTGTCTTTTTTGGTACAGTGGCAAGGTTGTTTTCGAGAGGTTTAGGATTGATGTTTTGGTCTATGAAACGTGGTGGTGATGCGTTTTCAATCAGGATGTTCTTTAGCATAAGGGTTTTTATATGATACCGTCGCAGATTGGACCGAATTGATCGGTCTCTATTAGTATATAGGCTCCTGTGCGGATGCCTCGATATTGCCAGCAATCTGATCATGTTAAGGTTGGATCGTGGCTAGCAGTGGAATCCAGGATGCACATCCTGTATGTTCTTTGGATAAAAAACTTCCTCTTCTTTTTTATTCTAATGATAGCTCATTTATTGACGCTATTTGTGTTGCTTGACATATTTAACAAACCATTTTTAACTACCAAATGTTTACACCAGAAAAATGTATAAATTCATGATTGTACAGTTTTGAAAATGAAATCGCTAAAAAGAGACTTTTCTTTGAAATAACCTTGATCTTCTTTTATATTCTGATATGGGTATATTTCACACATTCAATTTTACTTCAACTGATGACGAAAATTAAGATAGTTGATAGCTTGATATTGTTAAGCAAAATTTAAAAATCTTCCAAATGATGACATTCAATCGCTTACTTTTTATGAAAAGAAAGTAATTCAAACCAATTGCCAAGTAACTTTTCTCTCAACAATGTATGAGGTACTCGAGTGACACTGATATATCTATTATCTTCAATATTCCTATTCATTGTAACCACCTAAAACATAAAATGAACGGAAAGTTATTCAGTTATTGTAAAAGTTTTTTTCTTATAAATTCTAGACAATTGGTTCCTTTGATAAACTTGAACGAAAGGAGGATAAGTACAAAATATTATATAACCGCATATTTTAATTATAAAATATCGAGTGATGAGACTTTAAGCATTTGTAAAGTTATGAACTGTAAGATATTTAAAAGGTGAGAACTATTGCTTAAAGATCAGAGTCATTGTTAGTTTGTATGTTGTATAAAAGAAATCTCTAGAATTGTACAGGTGAAATAAGAAATATAAGAAAAGGAGTAACTTATATCAACTAGCTGCTTATATGACATGTAGAGAAGTGATAACTATAGGAGTGAGATTAACTCAATGAGTCGAGATCATTAGACGAATACAATAAAGAATTATGTGATTCAAATGAGAAAAAAAACCAAAGTACAGTCAGTAAGGATGTAAGAGGTTGATCAGAATGTTATTTAGTATATACAATTCTGGTTGAAAGCATTTGACAATAGTTGCTTCCGTGAAATGTAGTAATTCAGGCATTTTCTTGCACACTTGGTAATTTTTTAAGAGCACTTAACAGCTTAATCGTGATGTTTTGCATGCATGAAGTGTCTGCTAATTGCATTGGTAGGAAAACTTACTTCTAATTAAGGCTAATTTGTTTAGAATGTGTCCAGAGGATTAAATCGGAGCTCTCATCTCAGTCCTTCAAATATACTTGCTACAACAGAATTTGTGAGTTACCAAATGCAGTTCAAGATGACATGATTATGGTATTTAACGAGTTTTCACTGATTCACTACCCTCATAGTATCATATACTAATACAAATTTGGCTTCAGTGAATTTCCTACGAATCGCTCCAGTTACCCCTATTTTTGTTCTCATGACTATTGATGTTGCTTGAATATAGGGCAAATGGAAACCTCCTATCATTCAACAGTTGGATCATTTTATCTTTGGATTTCTTCTTTTCCATACTTCTCAATAAATCTCTTAATATGTTCATTTTGCTAACTTGTCTGAAGAATATAAGTTTCTAGCTTTGCTGCTGCCCATTCATGTAGCTGACAGGAACGAAGATGTTACAGTTAAGGTATCGTTCATTTCATGCATCTTTTCTATGAGTGGTTTTCTTCAGCGTACAAACATTTATTTTCAGGTTAATGTCAGAAAAGTTAGTAATATTTGGGAACATGCTTAAGAAGTAGGAAAACCGTAAAGATTCTTAATAGAAAGTCAAGGTTTGTCACTTATTCTCAAATGTCCGTGAGTGGTTTACATCGACTTCTTCTTTGCCTAATGTTAGGGTCCAAGATATAAACTGTGGTAGTCAGATCACAACATATTATCTTATTATTTACTTATTTTTCCCTTGGGTTCCTAGTGGAACATAGGGCTCCAGTAACAAGTCTCCATTGCACTCTCTTCTCTACAGTCTTTTCTTTCTAATTGGCTCCACCACTGCCCACAAGCTTTCATTTCTTCCTCACATGATCTCCTCCATGTCATCCTGACCTCGGACACCCAACTTGTCGTTTTCCCTTTGGATTCCACTCGACGGTTCGGTCCGGCGCGTGATGTCCCTAATCGGCCTTCTCAGCGTATGTCCAATCCAATCCAATCCGTTTCCACTTCCTTCTTCTGCATACTTGTTGGGCGATAGGTTCTTGCCTCGTTGGTTAGTTGCCAGAGTGAATCCCTTGTTGCTTATTCTTATTATTCTGACAATCTGATCTTCAGTATTAAGTGGGTGTAGGTGGTAGCTGTTGATGATGAATCTCTGTAGTTTGTTGGAAGTGCGTTTCGTAACGTACCAAGGTTCTCAATCATCACGTAGAACCACTGACTTGACAATGGTGTTGAAAATCCAGATCTTGTTCATGCTTTGTACTGAGTGAAGTAGATCTCCACACCGATTTCAGATTAGTGAGGGCCTGTCTTGCCTTTCCGATCCTGGTTTTGACATCCTCGTCTGTGCCGCCTATAGTTGAAACGATGCTGCCTAGGTAGATGGAAGAGACTACTTCCTTTAAGTTTCTCCCGTTGACGTTGATCGGTGCTTGCTGTTGATGCTGCTGTTGGTTGAGTATCTTCACCACTTCTGTCTTCTCTACATTCACTTGAAGTCCTGTTTTCACCACCCTACCTCTTCTGTCAACTTGTTAATTTTCGCCTGTAGATCTTCGAGTTTGTGCGACATTAAACATAAATCATCGGGGAAATCCAAATCGTGCAGGGTTTTCTCATCGGTGCAGCCAGCGTATGCCCATCTTCTTGCTCCTCACTGTTTGCTGCATGATCCAGTCGACTACAGTCAGGATCAGAACACATACTGGTTTCTTAATTTTAAGATTACAGAAATAGTAGTTCCATATTATCTTGTTTTTGTCTATATGATTTAGACAAATTTCGGAAGCTAAAATGAGACTCTAATTTGCATTGACTATTCTTAGTTAAGAAATCTACCACAAGGTTAATTTTAGCACAAAAATGATAGAAGTGGTAAAAGCTTCAAAAAAATTTGGAAAATTTATTTCGATAGTGTAATTAGAAGACGAAGGTCATCTAAACAATATGTGATGTTAAATTTTGAGGGGGTTGTGGAGATTTGGAAATATTTCAAGTTGTTATTCATCGAAGACTGACATCAGTTGGAAGAACAAAGGAAACCTGGGAGCACTGGACAGCTGTTTCGTCCTAGTATGGGACTCCTCAGCAGTGCGCACCCACGACCCCACCAGCAGGGATCGAACCCGCGACCTTCAGGTTCCGCGACCAGCGCGGAACTGATGTCAGTCTTCGATGAATAACAACTTGAAATATGTGATGTATTTGTGCAATACATTTCGAACACTCTGATCACACATTTACTTGTTAAGTCAATTTATATTAAACTGAAGAATGAGAGGACAAATGCAATAATTAAGGTAGTAAGGAATTACAATTGGAACAAATTGTTTTTGTAGATATGATGGTGGTTTCAATTTGCGTATGGCTATGGCTTTTACAAATCTCAGTATACGTCCTTGACTGCTTGTATATCGATCCTTTAAATCTGTCTGAACATTAATTTGTGACCTGTTTCTATAATATGTTTAACTGTAGATGAAGAGAGTCGTCTCCTACCGGCGTTTATCAAGGTTTCACTCTCCATTTGTTTTGGAAGCTATTTAGGTTCATGTTCTCCCACCCTCAACTACAAGGTCGATTACTCCACTCTATGTATATGTAGCCACACACACACACGAAAACTAGTAAACACAGTAGGATATAATGTACTCATTGATGCAGTGTTTAGGTTTGTGATGAAACATGTGTTGTGTTTTTTCCATAATGATAAGATTATATGCGTAATATATTTTCTTAGTGGCTGATGTTAGCCTACGTCTCAAATTGTATTATAGAACTCCCCTTTGTATGGTAGAGTAATATGGACTGGCTTTCTTAGGAACCATGTATAGAATTGGCTTGATGGAGAATATTTGTAGCTCAATAGTTGGCTTCAGTGCTACCTGATCTCTGCAACAGTTTAAAAACTTCAACAGATATCCGTTTTCCATAAGCATTTTGGTCAGTAATTTGATATGTTTATCTCATTAAACGGGTATTTTAATGGTCATCTGTTGTACTAAACTGGACAGAAACTGTGAAAATTTAGGTATTGTCCTGTCCATATAGGTTTTCTGTAAGTTTTAGGGTGCTAAAACAAAGAACTTTTGAAGGTATTTTATTGTATAAAGAATAATTTAAATCCCTTTGAAGCATTGAATATTTAAGATATATTGTAAATTGTGTCATTGAAACGTTGAATACATTTTAAATAAACATTAACTCACATTATAAACATCTTGTAAAATTCCAATATATGCTTTTTCAGTAATTAATAATTCTTCCCAAGCCATTTGATAAGCATCTTTTATTGTCATTTCTTTGATATTGTCAAGTGTTTTGGTATAGTATGACTGATAAACAATTGTATCAATAAATTTCTTTATTACCGGACGGATCAAAAGAATTGAATGAATATCAGTGTCAGAGACCGGTTACATAGTCAGTATTCATTTTCATGGGAATAATTAATGCCCGAAGTTTAATGGAAGTATCCGTTGCCAGTTGTTAAATGTGAAGTCCTTCTCTAAGGGGAACTAGTAACCATATCACTAGTTTCATAATATGTTAAATAACTTTAAAATAAGCCAATAAATACCATTGGAATGAGCTTTTATATACATGCACTTTTAAGTTAGAAATTGGTAACTACTTACTATCTCGAACACTGAAAGTTACGAAGAAGAAAATATCATCAACTGTTCTACAGTAATACAGTATTCATGTTTATTGGTCAGTTACTTCATTGTAAGGAGTAAGTAATGGTAACTGGCTCATACTTGAGTATGTGAGCATGTCTATGAGTCTAAACATTTATCTACACACAAACTTTTATTCTCAAATAAGAGATTAAGATGCAAAATAGACCACTAATAGTGATAAATTGTGAAATTTTTCTATAAGCCCATCTCATAATATCATTCTGCAAATATTCACATACTACACCTATATATATATATATATATATATATATATATATATATATATATATATATATATATATATATATATATATATATATATATATATATATATATGAGTAATAGGCCGGGTAATTTGTTGTACTCAAGAAGTACGTTTCAAAATAAACTCAAGATAAAGTATACGTGTAGACCTATGAGAGAAAATGCAACACTTAAGGCATCTTTCACACTTTTCTAATACTGAGGTCATCAAAAATAAAGTACAATTCAATTAGTGTGTTCAGTTATTTAGAACAGAATAAGGATCACAGGTATCCAAGTAATTCACAGTAATCTCAGAATAATTATAATCATAGATTATGATTACTTGAGAATAACAGATGAAAGCTATGCAGTATGGCTGCTTTATCTTAGTTTTATTTTTAAGCTCCTTATCAGTGTAAAGGCTCTGAGTAATTTCTAGTTGCCATGACAATCGTTTTTGATTTTTAGTGCGGAAGGAGCTGTAAAGACCAACTGAACATCTGAATTGGTCTCAGGCATGACACCAATCATCCGTGTTTACAAATGACACTAGGAATATATTTCGAAATAACAAAAAACCCATCTGATTTTTAACTGTTTGTTTGGAAAGCCCAGTTTTCTAACAAGTCAAGGTGTGTGTGTGTGTGTGTATTTGGTTTGGACGGTGTATGAAGTTTTCAACTTCTTCAAAATGTCTTTGGAATCCTTTCACTGACGAAATAGAATTTGCTCAAAAGATAGGGTGGATGTTGAAATTGAAGGTCTTAGAACAACACTATTGAAGATTTATTGATAAAGGCTTAAGGAAAGCTCTCACCCTACTATAGTTCCAATGAAAATTTTAATGATACATTTGTAATTCAAAGAGTATACCACAACTGAAATATTGAAGGACCGCCTATCGAATTGAGTCAACAATACTTTTTATTCTGTTAGACTGAGGTTGATTTTCTGGAGCTGTCATTTGATTTGACAATGCCTGAAGGATAGGTTTCTGTTTATATCCATATCCATGTATATCTATAAATTTAAATGCTCCTGTGGAGCTGACTATATTAGATGATGTAAGTGGTATGTATAGTAACACAATGTAGAACACTAATTGACTTAATTTATCAAAGGTGAACGAAGCCAAACAGCCCCATGTTTACTTGAACACTTAATAAAGTTAGGTCGTTCAACTCCTCGAAATTCATCTCTTAAATTAGCTACACCACAGGTCTTCATTTCCACCAACTAACTGAAGCACTAGCCTTGTTTGAACAAAAGAGGAAATTATACAATCAAAATGGCTTCATGAGATCCCTTTCTCTACTTTCGTATCAACTATTTGTTTTCGTTAATTTTTCAACTTCATTTCACTTCACTTCGTATTCTTCAATTTAATTTTCATTATTGCCATCATTTTACACTTCTTCGATAATACTTGACCTTTATTTTACCATTGAAACCAATTCGTTTCATATTCAGTGAACTATTTCCTATTCCTTCCACTCCAATAAATCCCACCACCACCAAATGTATCATGTATATTTTGACTCAACGCTTTTTTATGTATCTACCAGATATTTTACTGATCATAAATACAGTTTTATAATGAAGTTGTTGAAAAGAAATATTTCTGCGATGACGAAAATCTTGTTCCTCAGATTTTGACAACTTTATTCGCAATCCATCTTCATTCCTTGTTTATCGTTTCAGAAGAAAACTGTGGTCTCCATGACCTACCCCCCGGTGAATGATGGAAAACAATATCATCAAATTGTTACATCTGACAAACAACAAAGCCACCACATTTCAACTCATTTAAGCCTTTTACTGTCAGATCTAGTTGTTCTCATTTTAGACTCATATCACGAACACTTCTGATTACTTATTAAGTACAATGATACAGCATCTTTTAAATTTTAAGCAAATTTCTAGCTGATCTTAATCCAGTGGCTTTCACTTCATTCAAAATATTAGTAATGTGCTTTTAGCTACTGATTTACAAATGAGTAGGCGCTTGATATTCTTACAAAGTATGCCACCATAGAGAATTTCACTACATAATTCGAAACTCCCAAAGAAAAAGCGGTTATCAATTTTAACCAGTAAACTACTGGCTTTCAGTGGCATGCCCACAAATCTAAGTACCAATGTTGTTATTTGGGGGCTACTGAAACATATAAGTGACATCTGGAACTAACTTGGAACGCGTTTCAGAATATGATATTCATTTTTGGGTGGTAATACATATGCCCTTTGATGATGGGAAGCTCAATGACGCCTTTGAAGTGAAGACATGAGTAAGACAAGGCTACCACCTACGATCACCGATCATCTTCCTAACTGTAGTCGACTGGACTCAACTGGATCATGCAATAAACTGTGAGGAGCGAGAAGATGGGCATACGGTGGTTGACCGATGAAAAAACCCTACACAATTTGGATTTCTCCAGTGATGATGATTTATGTGTAGTATCTTGTCGCCCAAAGTCGAAGATCTACTGGTGAAAACAAATAAGTTGGCAGAAGAGGCAGGCTAACAAAGACGATACTTCCTTCAGGTGAACGTAGGGAAAACAGTGGTGATGAAGATACCTAAACAACAACAGCAACAAGCACCAGTCACCATCAACGAGAGAAATCGAAAGGAAGTTGGCTCTTCCACCCAACTGCCTAGGCAGCATCATCTCAACCACAGGAGGCACAGGCACAGGCACCATGAATATCTGGCAGTATCGAGGGGTCCGCATAGGAGCCCGTCTAATAACATCGGAGGTTGAGCAACTCGGTCCTGTATAACAACGGGAAATTACAAGTATCATAAAAATATTAATCCACTTTGGTTTTAAAAGTTTTAGCTTCGGAAGTTACAACATCTGCATTTACATGATGACAATAATACAAATAAATAATTACTTTTTGGCTTGTTAAACTAAGAGATAACTCTTGTATGACTGTCTATTTTACTACTAGTCAATTCATTTTGTGAAGCGAACGAACGAATGCATAACCTAGTCGAGGGTAAAGAGTTTGGGCGATTGAGTTGTAATCCACAGGGTGATGATAGATAACGGCTAGAACAAAATTAGCGGGATTAAATGCGAACCAGTACCAACCAAATTATCAAGTGAACTACGAAAACTCATTGATATCCATATTATTCAGATTTTATTTCAATAATCATGTGTTTTGGTTAACTATTCCGCAAATAAAAACAATTTTTTGCTTCTGTTATACTCCGGAAAAATATTTCATAAATCAGTTATTCTAGTTTTATTATGGCTGGAAATCCTACTTTTTTCGATGAAGTGTAACTATTCTCAGTGAGCCCCGATGAATGCACGCAAGATCTTTCAGTCTAAGTGGTAATGTACTCATCGTATGAAATAATGGTCCTGATGCTAAACGAAGGGACTATTGAGCACTAGGGAGAGATTCGAAACTGAAAAAAACAGCTGTGAAACGTTTCCTGCTTTCCATTGGTTAATGTCAGTCGGTGATGAAAAGCTACTCAGAATCATATTGATTACTCATATTCCTTCCAGCTGAGCAGTCAATTCTTCACAAAATTTTAGTATCACCAGACTTTGTATTTTGTTGTAAATTAATGGGAGCGCAGACTTGTATGACTCTTCATGTGGGTAAATTGAGTTTGGCAGACTGAGCGTGTAACATCCGGGACCGATCACATTCAAGGTCAGTGCTAATACTAAGACAAGGTTATAACAAATTATTGACGAGGTTAACTCAAGGTTATAGCGAAAGTACAAATATGTTTAAGTAAAGATAACCAACTGGAAAAATAAGTATTCCAACTGTGATTTACATTTAGTGCAAATTTCGGTGATAAAATCCACATTTAATTGTTTTAATTTATGACAATTCACACTAAACAAAGAATACGTAGTAATACACAAAATGGTTTCTCCGATTAAGAGTCTCATATGACTGTCAAAAATGAACAGGATTTACTGGCTTAGGCAGTCGACTTTCAACCAGTAGGTCGTGGCTTCGAACACCGCTCCACCTACGAAGGCTTGGGAACCTACGTAGTATCATTAGTCCTCTTGTGATAGGTATGGCTCATTGCCTGGTACATGACCGTGTATAAAGCTGCTGACAGCACTGCCATTCAGTTCAGACTGCAGCAGATTACCGACTTCTATTTTCACTTCAATTGACGTCGTAAGTGATAGGAAATAAAGCCAACATTCTTCTTAAGTAACTAAACTTACGTTTAGCCCAAGAAGAGGAAGTGTAGCCAAGACTTTGCACATGAGTCAAGAGTATGAAACACAATCTAAAGACAAGCGGCTTCTTGAAACCTGAACACATGAAATCGACATTTTCATGCAGCAAACGAAAACTGATACCAAGCACAA